GTGTGATTTTCTTAGCAAGTGAATTACACTCAGACTTATTATTTTCATGGCACCATATCCAAGTGTCTATTTTCAGTGCATTTTCAATTTCTCACATAACTTTGAAATTCATAATTTAGACACATGGACTGGTCTTCTTTCAAGTGTGTTCTTTCGGTGAAGATGTCTCCATTTTTGTGGAAGTTATGATTTTTTTGGATGATTTTTTCACTTTCCCATACGTATAATGCATGGACTCAGTAGACAACTGTATGAGCTGGAAGCTAAGCTTTCTCAGTACACTTTGTCTTGGAAAATGAACTGGATAGGTCAATGTTTCCCTGAAATACTCAAGTTCCAGTTAAGGTAATTTAAAGGTTTATACGTTTGCTGCTTTTATATTGGTTATACTGAAGGGTGAGTGTGAGAGCGACTTAAACACCTCCCCCGAGTCATGGTCGTCTCAAGACCCCAGGTCAGGGTCACCTCAAGATCATTCATAGAAAGGTCAAGGTTCTCTCAACATCACAAGTCATATTGTCTATCTTTGTCATTCTCAATTCAGTCACATGTACAGAAATCAAATAATGCAAGAATATATTTTGGTAATAGTGACAACAACTTCATGTTTTAGTTTCAATTTCCTGTACACCCACATCATCAATTATACATATCCATGCATTACATACACAATTACGTTTCATCTTACATGATATGCCGTTCCAGTGACCATTGCCACAATTACTAAACTGTCATAGATTCCACTTCTTCAATCCGCCACTGGTCTGTGCACTTACCAATTACAGCGGAGCTCTACCGACCGCAAGGACACTTTTTGTTTATAAAATGCGGTTCATTATCCTATTATCTACCGACCGCAAGATCGCTCGTTTTCGGTTCGTTATCCCATTATTTATTTCACACATGACCAAGGATAACACTCATGATCGATTTGTTCACGTTTACCGTTAGTTAAAGCGGGAGGGTCGTCACCTGCGCACGCGCGGGAATTGAGTCCCGAGCAACGCTAAAAACGCAAAGGCACATAGGTAAATGCTTGTTTGTAAACAATGACATGCTATGGCCATCTGAGGCATTCGCAGATGACGACTCCCCCGCTTTAAAATGTAAGTGTATAAATGTATAACCAATCATGATTCATGTACATTTCCCAGTCACCCACTTCACGGTTCCGTCTCTGTGTAAAGATTCCAGCAGTGAAAACTCTGCCTTCCAGTTATGTGCTGCTTTAAAATCTATCGTCGCGTTAGAACCATAATAATGATAGGGCACCTTGTTGCCAGCGGTGTCCAGAAGACTAGGATAGAATCCGTAAATTGTGATGACGTCACAGAATGAAAGTGCGGCGACCAGTGTGCGTAGCCCTGTTGATGGCAATTTGCGTAGGTGAAGAAATCTGTAGAATAATACAGAATTTTGTGTATTAGACCTAATTACTCATCGCCTGTGCAAACAGACTCGCTTAGCGCTAGACGCTAGCAATAACAGTCATTGTCTGAGACACTGGCAAATCTAAAATAAAGACAGTGACGAATTACCCAGGCAATTGTTCAGTCAACTCAAGTAAGGGGTATACTATTGTGTGTGCCGCAAAAACAATATTTTAGTTTACGAAAAATTATAATCAAATAACCATCAATACGCCGTATCAAATAGCAATATTAAATGATAATTTGTTTTTATTGATATTGCATCTTTATAATGATCGGTGACATATGTTATGAGGATGCATTCGCAATCATGATGATTGTAAAACCATCCCAATGGTTTGCAGCAAATACGACGCAGTTATCTCTGTCAACGGGAATATATCATGCAAATAGAAGGAGTCTGAGAGCAAAATTAGCTGGTTCCCGTTCACTTTCTCGTTGCTTGTTCTATTTCCCTTGGTTACCTGACGTCAGCGCTTACGTCAGTTGCCGTTCAGGGCTTTCCTTTTTACTTTCAAAAAAATAATAAAAAAAAGTTTCTCTTGTTATCAATTTGTACAGAAACAGCGAAAAATGCCAGTACCATCTCAAATATATTAAGTCCTTGCTGGCAGAATGTATGGGCAGGGCGTTATTGCAGCAATGAGGACTTGTTTAAAAAAAGCGAATATTAGAATGTTTTCAAATTACGACTCTCTTAGTGGAACAATCTGGCAATTACTAGTTACCTGCGTTCTACTTGCCATTCGCAAGGGACGCCGTGAACCAGCAAAAGAGCACAAACCGCCGCCACAGTACTGATCATTGATATGGTCCGATCTAGCAATAATGAAGAATTCTTCCAAAAAAATCCAGTCTCCATTGCAACCAGAACAGACCTGTTCCAAAATCCAAAGTCTCTTTGGCGTACGAAAAAAAAATTGAATATGCATGCTAATTACCTTTGTACATTTGGTAAGAAGCTTCTTTGAGCGGTGTATGCAACCTCATATACAAGATTTAACCTGGATTTCAAATACGCAATTGATTGCTGTCTCACAGGCACTGACGATACCCCAGGGTACCAAAGTATGGTGTTATTCAATGAAACGTAATTGTTGAGAAAATCTGGAAGTCGTTTTTGCTTTCGCCGATGGGACATTCTGTAAAGTTGCATCATTGTCGCTCGATTTATAATTGTAACATTTGTTTTATTTCCAACATCTTGTTCGTATCCTGTTATTACTGGAATATTACATCTAACGACAAAGTTATTAC